TTATCCATGTCATACAAAAGTACACATTGGCACAAATACAAGCACACACACACACACACACACACACACACACACTGATTGAGCGCTTCTCATTAGCCCCTACACTGGTGACATGCCTCAGATGTGACGTCTTTGTTCCCACCCGTCAGACCCCCACCTTAAAAAACTGAAGAAACACAATTTTAAAAAACTGCCACACCTTTCCCTGACACCTTGACCCTTCACACTCACACACACATCGGCTCGCGGCATGTTTGCTCTTACGACGTGAAAGCCCTCTCTCATTAACCCAGAGGGCACCCCCAGCCTCCCATTGTGCCCCTATCTCCCGCAGCATTCTGGGTAAAGTAGTTTAACAATGTCAACCAGATAAGCCCAATGCAAACGTGCTGATAAGCAGTGAAATGTACTTAATGTGTGTGTGTGTTTCTTGAAGGCGTTGCTTGATTGAGGACCCAATGAGGAGGATGTAAAAGACCAACAGTGAGCAGAATGGGTAGGCCTATATATATGTGTGTGTGTTTGTGTGTGTGTGGCCACCGTGGCAGGCGCACAGTTTCATATCTTTGTAATAACAATCTAAACTGCAGAAACAGCGAAACACAGAATACAAAAGAAAAGCAAACACACATCCCGCTGGACAAAGAGCCTGAATGAATGTGTGTGTGATTTCAAAATGGCCAAGGACCATTAGCAAAGTTATTCAGACAAAAAAAGTGACTCAACTTTTCCTGTATTGACAAGTTAAGCAGAAGGAGAGAGATACGCTCGCAGAAAAGAAAAAGAAAAAGGGTCCGAGGAGTGGAGGGGCCCACATGTAAGAAAAAAGAAAACGCAGCTCAGTGAAATAAAGTTGACGGCCGATGTCCAAGGCTACGCTGAATCTCGAGCGTTTCTTCGCCGGCTGCCACGAGGCAACTGCACTGTAATGCCACAAACACTCCGCTGCGATAAAAAGGTGAGAATATTTCACAGGAATTCTCAAATAAAACGCAGTACATTTTGTCCCAGAAACTCCACTCCCTGATAATCTCACATTACACACACAAACACACATACAGCACACACACACACTTGAAAGGAAGCAGAAAATCAATAAAAGTACACATAAGTAACTAAGTATATTTACTCAAGTAGGCTACTAATAATTTCAAGGGACTTCTACATTACTTGAGCATTTCCATTTGTTGCTACTTCAGAGGTAAATGTTGTACTTTTACCCCACTACATTCCTTTAATACCTTTAGTTACTTTGCAGATTTGGATTAATAATGAGCAATATAATCAACTCTTAAATCAGACTTTAGTTACACCTGGAGTATACAAAGTCATTAAGACTAGCTGCACCCTTACCAGCTTTGATAACACTTTAATTCATCAATAATTATAAAACATATCATATATATTATTCTGAAATGGAGTAATTTGCATACTAATGAGTAGTATATTTTGATGCTAATACTTTTGTTCTTGAGTAACATTTTGAATGCAGGACTTTTACTTGTAACAGAGTATACACTGATACTTCTACTTTTACTTAAGTACAAGATCTGAGTGGTTCTCCCTCCTAAAGAAGAACAGGACTGCATGCAGACTGCGTGTATTTATATCAGACTGTTCACAAGACAAGCTGTTTGCTGAGCACATGTGAGCTGCATTTTTGCATCACACACACACACACACAATTGTAAGCACACACCCATGCACAAGTATTTGAAATCTTGGCAGGCCGAAACCCGATATGGTACGCTTTGTTCTCTTAATGGTCCTGTTCCGTTTTTATTATCCTGAATACCTGACCCACCTGTACACCCAGGTGACTTTACCCTGCGCGTCGTCTCTCAGGAATCAAGGGAAGATACAGTTTCCCTTTCTATCCCCATTCTTCCCCCTCTATCGACAGCTACAGTTTCAAATTGCTTCCTCCTCTCATGTGTTTCTTCCTTTCTCCCTCCCCCTCCTTATTCTTTCTCCTGCGGCCCATTTCCTGCAGCAGACAAATGATCGGCATTGATGAACACAAGGCCGCATTCAGAGGACTCACGCCCAATCAGAAGTGGAGAAGAAAACAGTCAAGATTTTTTTTTTGTAAGAATCTTTTTTAATGAAACACAAAAAAGGCAATAAAATTAAGATAAATATTTTTTTCCTTTTTGTACATGAGGAAATATTTAAGTCATATTTCCCAAAGAATGACTGAAATTACACAATATATTTTAGTAGGCAATCTCAACCGTACAAAGCAGTTTTTCCAGTGGGTCTTAATAAAAATAAAAAAAGCAATGATGTCGCTTCGGTCAAAACGTGATGTTTACAGCTCCAGTGTTTCTTAGAGAAAATACAGCTTTAAAAAAAGAAAAATCAATTAAAGACCCATAAAAGTAATATTTAAAAATGGAGTTTCACATTCCTCTTAAAGCTTTTGCTTTGCAGTGTAACAGCAACATGTTGTTAAAAAAATCTGTCAATGTCCTTAAAAAAAAGAAAGAAAAAGGCAATCATGATTCCCCCCCCCCCCTCCTGTACATCCTATACACCGACAACCAACAGTCGTCACAGAATTGCATAAACGGTACGATGGAGGAAAACATAAAAAAACACACATACACAGACATTTTTTGGCAAAGCAGGAATAAAAGTGACAAGAAGCGTAATTTTGTGATTTGATCCTTATCTTGTTTTGTCTCTTATCAACATCGCCCCATTGATTGGCTCTGATTGTCCTTCACAGTCACGTGACGCCATTACGGTTGCCATGGTGACCTCAAGTGCATCAGCCCGGGCAGCGTGCAGACAATGTTGCTGCAACGTTTCTCGGAGGCTGTCATAGCAACGCCGGATGAGCACGAGCAAAAACCTCCGTGATTGCAGCGGGTCCCGGATTCAGATTTGATTGATCGGTTTTTCTTTTTTTTTAAATGTCTTTTTTCATATAAATTGTTTTTAATGCGATGAAACTCACAGGTGCTTTGGTATGTTTCTTTTTTTTGATGCCAGATAAATATCTACATTTGATATAGGAATACAGGCTAAAATAGATAAAGGAGATTCTTATAGGATCAGAGGACAGCAGAAACTCGGTTCCTTTTTCCAGTATTTGTATTAAAAGAAAAGCACATTTTAAAACCCAATGGAGTGAAATAAGGAGAGAAAAATGAATTTAGACAAAAAGAGCCTTTTTCTGATTTCCTTAGAAAAACATTTCCCAAACACCCTTTCTACATATTTAAAGTCTTCACATCAGTTGTACAGTTTGACCCCAAATCTCCAATCCTGTTCAGTGCATTGAGAGAGAAGGACACTAACCCTCCCTCTGTCAAAACCCCCCCGATCCCACCCACACACACACCCTAAAAAAAACGTAAATAAAATAATCTCTGCAAAAGAAAACAACAAAAACAAATATATATGTATACTATTTACAACATGTCATATTATACATGATGCTGTACAAAGCGCGCACACACAAGCGCCCATGCACACACACATCTCAAATAAACAATCCAACTACCTGTACATGTGTCTCCGCACCCGCAATAGGTGGGTATGAGAGAGAGAGGTATTGACGTGTATGGCTTGACAGGAGAAGAAATTCCGGTTTTCTGAGGACTGCACGTTTAGTACGGGACAGATTCATATTCAGAGAGTTCCAGATAAACTGCCGAGACGTCATCCCTGCCTGATGAGCGCGGGTGAACACGTGCCACACATTCAGTACAAACACACTCACCGCTAAAGCACTATTTACTTAGAGCTCATTAAATGCCAAACAGGGTCATCGCAGTCACTCTGCAAACACACATTCACACTCTCACACACAAAGTCCGAACTACAGTGTTTTTTTGGTCCTGTTGGGGATCTCCCAATTGTCAAACTACCAGTATAAGACCATTAAAAACCCTCCAAAACCAGTGTGGTTTACAGTAAGTCTCCGAGTCAGTCTTTGCTTTAGACTCCCGCCGTAGTATATCCAAGCGACTGTAACTCCAAAGTGCTCATGTCCTTGGTTCTTTCGTTTCCTTGTCAACGATATCCTCTGTTATTTCAGCCACAGGGAAGGCTGCCGACAACAAGGAGCCTCGGTCCACATCTGATAAAGAGGTTGAACCTGTCACGGATCAGACTTTTCCCCAGAACAAAACCTCTTAGTGCCAGTACTGTCAGGCTTTATCCAGTGTGGCCAGCTCCTTCTCTTCGAGGGACAGATCAACAAGCAGAGTCAGAACTCTTTGTCTTGGTTTCCCTCCGTCCCTAGCTCCGGTCTGGAAGCAGGTTCCAGAATGTAGGTTCGATTTTTTTGGATTTCTCTCTAGCTGGAGGTGCTAGGACACGATAGCCATGCCGTCCGCGCTGATCAGCTGACCCGTGGTGGGTTCGTAGGACCCCGCCAGGTAGAAGAAGTCGTTGGCCGCGCTGCCGGGCTTACGGTCACGCGTCAGGTGATCGTACTCCACCCTGCTGACCACCTGGCAGCGATGGGAGATGGTCTGAACATCGTTCTCATCCTCGTGGCTCGACTGATACAATGCATTCTGGGAAAGATAGACAGGAAGAATGGTTGATTAACAAGGGGGCGTCAATTTGTGTGGAAAAGAAGCAGGGACAAAGGTGGGTCAGATTGCCTTTAAATGGTCCCAAACCTATACAATGTTTATGCCATGAAATGGGCAATCAGTTTGAGGTCAAGAGTAGATAATTAGCAGGATTGGGAAAAAACAAGAATCTATGTCAAGATGTATTTAAAGTAACTGATGCATGCTTTTTTGGGCAACATTTAAAGGGGCCCTATTGTGCTTTTATGTGTTATCCCTTTCCTGTAATGTGTTAAATAGGTTTCAGTGCATTTAAATGGTCCGCAAAGGCGAAAATTCCACCTACTGTATGTTGATAAATCAGCAAGGATATATACAGCCTGAAAACGTTGCTTTCACAAGAAAAGCTGTTGTTTTTGTTTGGCAATATCATTCGTGCCTCATATGTCAAATCCGTTTTTTGTCATGTCTCGTAGCGTGGGTTGTAGTTTGAGTTCCTGCCAGTTGTGATCTTTACTGTTTGCTCAGCCATGATGGATATTTATGCTCATGCAAACTCCTCAGCTCTTTTTCTATTTATTCCAAACAAACCACTATTGCTGTTGCCAAAAATGCATGACTTCCTGTGCGGCAGGAGAGACATTTTTCCTGGGAAAGTCCGATTTTAAACAGAGTATTTAGAAACAGTAAATGATAACATTTTCATGAACTAAAGTGGATGTTCAGCCATTCATAGCGGATGGAAACGGGGGAATAAAAAAGCAGCAAAGAGGTAATATATTTATATGAACATTTCACGGGCTGTTACTTAGACCATTCCCTGTTTTAGAGCAATTCTACTTGCACTCTGCGGCCTTTACCTTGCCATCGCGGTGTCGCTTCCCCAGGCGGGTCTCCTCCGGGTGGTAGAACCACTTGACCCTGACCACCATGCTGGAGCTCCAGGACTCCCAGAGGCTCTCCACCCGGCCCACGTAGGGCAGCTGGGGCCGGCCGGGTGACAGAAACACCGCGCAGTCCCCGACACGCACCGTCTCCTTGCCCCTCACGATGGCCTTGTAGAAAAGCTTGCGGGCTTTACCCTTCAGACCTCTCCTCTGTGGAGGGAAAGGGAGTTAAAATAGCACTCTCAGTCAGTTTATTCAGCGCCGAGGGCTCATTTCACCACCAAAAGTCAATTAAGATTTGTGTTTGTTTTGCTAAACCCAGGCTACCAAAGCACGGTTAGATTTAATACTTCTTTCCTAACGCCAAAAATGAGCTAATGCCCACTCATAACACTCGGATCCTGTTGAGTTACAGGACCATGTTAGCTGGCACACAAATAGTTCCTTCCTTTTGACTGAAACTCATGGAGAAGGGCCTGGCTTACACCTTTATTTCTGCTCTGTCGTTTCATTTTTTTAACCCTGCAGATGTTTACAGAGCAAACAGCGCGGCAGAATGTAAACTGAGAGTGGCAGCGGCTGCTCAAACTGTTTTGTTCTGTTATCTCAGGATCGTGACTTAATAATCAGGATAACACAGTCAGAGAATAAAGCCTCGTAGTGTTGCCAAAGTCTACAAAGACTGAGAAAGTCTGCAAGGACAAATTCTATTTGATCATTGCATTTACTGTATGTAATCAAGATATGACACAGCAGACACAACAGTCTTACTTAAGTTGTGAAGTGAAAGGTTATTGACATGGTTTCGTAATTGTATCACCAACATAACAATGTGTGATAATGGAAAAGTCTGGAATCCATTTCATATGTCTATTTTCACCAGAATAGACGCGTGTGAATTTTCTTTTGACTTTTCGTGTATGTAAAGGGGCCCAAAAATGCGTTCACAGACAAAAAATAATAATCAGAGTGATTTCAAGTATGCTTTAATTTGAATTGTACAAAGCCCAAAGTGTCTTACCTGTGTGGGGTTTCCGGACCATTTCCAGAGCTGGCGTCCAGGCAGAAGAGGTGCCAGGCTGGGCAGAGGCTCAGGTGAAGACATGCGCTGCCGCTTGGCCGGGTCCTTGGAGGAAGATTTCTGCAGCTGGCTCCCTGGGCTGCTCTGCCTCTGATGGTGGCTGCTGGACCCTCTGTCCTTCCTCTTCAGCTGGGCCTTAGCCGTGCTACTGTTAGCCACCAGACCTCCTTTTGACATCAACTCCTTCCTGTCTTCACTCCTCACTTTTGACCCCGAGATGCTACCTTTGGCCCTATAGGGAGCTGAAGGTGAGGAGCTGGAGGGGGCGGAGTCAGGGTTCAGGAGGTCAGAGGTCACGTTTTGTCTGTGTTTGTGTTTGTCCTGCTGGAGTAAGGCGCGTCGCAGCAGCACGGCGGACGACTCTTCATCCGATGAGTAAGAGGAGTCGTTTTCTGACGAGCAGAGGGACGATGAGGAGATGGAGCCGGAGGAGGAAGAAGAGGAGGATGACGAGGAGAAGCAGGCAGAGAGACGGGAGAGAAATCGGCTTCCGCGTTGGGATGCGTCCCCTGCACTTCTCCGTGGAGCTTCAGCATCCTGACCTTGATCGTCGTCTTCCTCATCGAGCTCAGAGTAAGAGCTGGGGCAGTCGCTCTGGTAGTCCAAATCCCCTTCTTGGACTCCGAGACCTGCAGACAGGAGATCCTTCCTCAGAGGTGGAGATCCCTTTGAAATCCCCTCAGATCGGACCCCGGTGATATCTTTCTCTCCTCCTGACTTCTTCCCATCTTTCACCACCATGGCAGGGTGGATGTATCGCAGCGGCGCTCCTGCAGAGGCCGGACTTTTATCCCCTTTCCCTCCAAGTCGTTGTAGCGCCTTTCCATTCTTTGTTTTGGGCGAGGTCACTCCTTCGTGATCGAGCTTCACCAGGAACTGCTTTCTGTCGCGTTCGCTCGGCGGATGCCTGTTGTTAGAAGCCATGTTTACTGATGGGGAGCAGGCAGAGGACGAGACCCCCATGGAGGGTCCAGAAGAGCCAGGTCGCCCCGATCCAGAGCTCCTGGAGGTGGAGTAGCTGTTGGCGATGCTGCTGAAGGAGTCTCCTGCAAAAGGGGAGCCGAAGATGCCTTTAAATGGTGTAGGGGGAGCGAGGAGGTGGGAGGGCCGGTGAAACATCCCCAGGTCTCGCTCTCTCCTCCTCTGGGTCTTACGGGACGTCCCGTTGAAGAGGAAGAAGTCAACTGGAGGTCGCTTCTTGGGCACAGACCAGTTCAACAAGGAAGTGTTGCCTTTGGTTACGGTATCCGTTACTGATGTCGCCGTGTTCGATGTCTTTGGCACAGAGTGGACTTTCTTCGGTCTGCCAACTGAAAAAGGAGAAGAGTTATAATCAGGCTTGGGTTGTAATGGATTACATGTAATGGTATATCGTAATCAGGATACAAAAACACACATTACTGGTACTTTAAGAAAAATAAAAGGGAATTACTAGCAGGATAACAATAGGCGCGTTCACACCGCAGTACTTTTCCCACTTTAGTTCCGATATAGTTCCGAAATGTCGCGTTCACACCAAAAAGAGCCAGAACTCAAATTAGTTCATCAGAACCTTTTTACCCCCTTTTCCGTCAGTTTTCCGTCCCTGCTAGAGAGCAGGTACTTTCGTGGGAGAAAAAGGTTCCTATGTCTGATTGGCTGGGCGAAATGCAAACCACGCCCCGTAAAACTCCCAAAACGTTTTGTGAAGCTGCCATTTTATTATCCTCGCATTAGCATTATTAGCATTAGCATTAGCCCAGCGCACAAACGCAGAGACTAACTTATGGCAACACAAAAGAAAACATGGGAGCGGTGGAGATGAGGAGGTGTCGGCGTTCTGGCGATTTACTCTGAAGGCTTCAGTAGAAGCTACTGGGAGTCCCAGCAGCTTCTACTGAAGCCAGTCCCCAACTCCGGGGACTTCCGGCCGGGGACTTTGGGTGGCAGTATACGCCGTGAAGTTGTTTGCGGCCTGCCAGTAAACCCAAAGCAGAAGAAGAAGAAGTGACGTCAGCGGCTTCATTTGCCTAATCCTCCCTCAGGGACTTATTCCGGTGTGAACGCGATCTGTACTTAGTTCATGAGAACTAAAGAGTTCTGATGAACCTTTGTGGGAAAAGTACTGCGGCGTGAAAACGCCTAAAGTAACAACCCATTTAAAAATAAATATAAATGTATAATAGGAAGGTGTACTTCATTACTTTTATATCGCAATACTTAGATTAGGCTACTAATTAAAACATTTAGTAATTGTAACATTTTTGAAGTAACCCTCTCAACCCTGTTATAATCAATATGAAGTAATGGATCTTGAAAGTGATAATCGTGGAAGAGTTTTGGAGAAACGTTAACCCTTTATCTCTTTGATCTCCACCTAGCCAGGTATATTTCAACATATCCATTACTCAAACTAAAACAAAACCTGGTAAACCTGTCTCTCCCTCCAGCCTTATTGTTACCCGGAGTTTTTGAAGAGTAAAAAGCATGTTGCGTAACAAAAGAAAACACACCGATGACACCTCGTTAACGCGTGATTGATGTGGTCAAATAGAGGTTAAATGATAGGAGGCAAACAAAGAGTTTTAATTTACGAGTCTCTCGGTTTATATCCCTCCCCTGCTCTGACTCGGGGGCATCTGATAAGTGGTTGGCAGTTTGAACTGTAACCGAGGCGGTGTTTGGGGGGATTTTCCAATATTGCCTAAAGGGCTGTGAATGTATTTACTAGTTAGACCAGTACTTCTCAGACAACATCAAATTAACCTTTGGTGTCTGAGGGACGTACAATCCCAGAGTGGATTCCTCAGTGTTATTAAATAAAAACCCATTCTTTCCCACACATATAAAACTAAAGATTCAAGTAGTTTATTTCCCAGAGGGGCCGGTTATCCTGAGTTGGGTTAGTCTCGTCACTTTTTGGATAAAATAGCAAAACTTTAACCTAAAAAGTTATTAATTAACCTAATATTTGCCTTAACCCTTAGGTTAAACCCTCAGGAGACATTGCACCTAATTTGACTTTCAAACACGTATGATTATTATTCTTTTTTATGATCAACGATTTAAAAATACATTTAGATTTTTGCTCCTTGCGACCGCAGCTCTCCTTCTTTTTGCCTGACTGTTGATAAATTCTCAAATTGACCATAGTGACGTAAATATATGTACAGCTAATAGTGGTAACATTTCCCTCACCTGGTCGTTTCTCTTGGGGCCTTCCTGCTGTCTCCTCATTGGCCGGTTTCTCTGTGGGCGTGTCTTTCCTCTCCTGGGTGGAGCTTCTTCGTCCGCGGCAACCAGGTGAGATCAGAAGAGCTGGAGAGGGTTCAACACCTGACGGAGAAAAATGGGTTTAAACAAAAAAATGTTGCTTGATTGTTTCTTTCTTTCCTTCCCTCCTTGCTTCCTATCTTCCTTCCTTTTTCTTTGTTGTTGTTGTTGTTTGTTCTACTTTTGTTTTTTCCTTCCTTTCTCTTACTCTCTCGTCTTACTCACAGCATATTTGGTATCCTGGTGGCAGGAGCCTGATGTTTGTGAGGGAGATCCTTCCTCTGTCTCCATCATCAAACTCCACCATCACGCAGCCCTCCTTCTCCTCCTCACCTGGACTTCCTAAAGCACAACACATAAAACAGAAGACATGAGTTTCTGGAAAGGCACTAGTGTGTGTGTGTGTGTGTGTGTGTGTGTGTGTGTGTGTGTGTGTGTGTGTGTGTGTGTGTGTGTGTGTGTGTGTGTGTGTGTGTGTGTGTGTGTGTGTGTGTGTGTGTGTGTGTGTGTGTGTGTGTGTGTGTGTGTGTGTGTGTGTGTGTGTGTGTGTGTGTGTGTGTGTGTGTGTGTGTGTCTTCCTGTTCACCTCGATGGACGTATCCGGGGTAAAGACAACGAGAGCGCTCACTCCAGTACGTACACACTCGTGTCCCTGCAGTGAGGATGGTCTCGCTCTGGGGCCTCACGTCCAACACCTGGGAAAATTACAAAATGATCTGTATTACAAATGTTTCAGTAGGAGTTTCCAGCGCTAAATAACTACCCCAAAAACTGTGACAGATGCTGGAGCCTGAAGACTGAAACTCACAGCTTCCTGTAGTAGCTGCTCCAGCGAGTAGATCCGCGGGCGATTCCCTCGTTCTCCTTCGATGACAACACTGAATCTGAGAGAAACAAAATGTAAATTAATACAAAATAAAAACTTCTCATGAGTTGACACTTTTTTCCACTACCAGCTGTGTTGGCTGCCACTTCTGTGTATCTTTATAGTTGTCTAGACCTGTTTTTTTGTCAAGACTACCAGAGCTAGTTTTCATAGTTGTAAACCAGAGAACACTGTTGTTGCATTTTGGCATTTTATTGCTTACCTCTAGGGGTTCCAACTATGAAATTGGTAAGCTAAGGTGGTTATCATCTAACATGTTGATGCTTATCGTTTTGGAATCAGCAACCTTGGCTCCTATAAAATTACTTTACCATATAATTAAACTGCAATGCGACTGAAATGTATTTTCCACCCGGATGTATGATTCCAGTCCTACGGATGTTGTTGCGGATTTGCGAAAAATTACAAACGTTTGTTACTTTACTCTACCCTGACATGCTTAATGTTCAAAAAGGTCTTTGTGATTGGTAAACCCCTTCGAGAAGTCCCGCCCTTTAGCCTATCATGTACAATGTGTTCGGGCACTAGCCAATAGAAGCTCGAGTGTCACGTATGTGAAGTAAACAAAGGAGTCCTTTTCAGACCATTTACATGCACACAAACCTATATAACACTACAGGAAAGGGAAAACCCCCAAAAGGCATAATCGGGGCCCCTTTAAATGAAATGACAGTCATCATTTAAAGTGGACCTATCATGCTATATTATAATAATATAGTGTAGGACCATACCTATATAAGGCATATTTATACTTTTTTTTTTTCAAAATACCAAACAGATCATGCATTTTAGCCATGCCTCATTTCGCTCAATTTGCACTTTTTTAGCCCTGTTTTAGCAAGGGCTGATTCTGTGAGAACAGCACCACCTACAGGCCTGGCATATGTACTACAGCATCTCCAGCGCTTTCGAACGGCAATGGCCGTGGCTGTCTCCTCCTGATTGGTGGAGTTGGCCCAATAGCCACTCCACTTGAACACTGTCCTGACGTCAGGACAGTGTTCAAATCTGGATCAGTTTTTATCAGATCCATTGCAGCCCCTTTTTTAGAGATTTGGGTATGGAGGAAAATAGAGAGGGTTGTGTTTTCTGACACTTGGTGAGTTCCCTGGAACACCGGGGACACATATTCATGTATAAAAGACGTACAAAAGTGCATTTTGCATGATAGGTCCCCTTTAAAATAATCTAACGCTGACTTTTGATTTCATGCTCAATACATACAGCAGTTTACTGAGGTCTTTTGCCTAAGGAGATTTGCAATATGTCAAAAAACTAACTCAATCCAAATGTAATCCCATGCTCTTTGGTTGGGAGCGTACTTTTTAGAAGACCAGGTTATTTGCTATATGAAATAGTCACCATGCTCGTTCCCCTTGGAAGGTTGAGGTTTTATTTGGTGAAGGAGTATGAATGTTTTAGCTGAGTGTTTCTGTGGACACACTGCAGGGAAAGGGTCTTACATGTCGGGCAGGTCCAGAGTTTGGACGCAGGCGGCGTACAGCAGCTCGTCCTCCTTGGAGATGAGGATCTTCAGGCCGTCCACCAACATCTCTTTACTCAGCACACAGTTTGGCAGCGCTGCGCAGCGAGGGCGTGGTTCAATGATTGATGGATGAAGAAGATAAAGCGTGAGTGATACATCATTTGTGAATGTGTTGAATAATTGCTATGTGAAGTGAAAAAGGGGGGGCAAAAAGGCAGAGGAGGAGGTGTGTGTGTTCGAATGTGTGAAAAACCTTTTCAAACCTGCATGTAAGTGTGTAATTATGTATGATGTGTCAGTGTTTATGCCTACCGGGTATTCTGCAAGGCATGTTGGGAGGGAGGTGGATCAACTGTATGTCCTCCTCCTCTTCCTCCTCTTCCTCCTCCTCCTCTTCTTCTTCTTCTTCTCCTTCTTCTTCTTCTTCCTCTTCCTCCTCCTCCTCCTCGCCCTCAGAGAAGCTGCTCTCCTCATCCAATCGGAAGCCCTCGTCGGCTGCAAAGCTCTGCAGGAGCCGGCTCACTGCGTGGCCCTTAGCCTGGACAGGAAACAGGATGTGACATCAGTAGGGAGACAACAGGACATGGCATCACTTTATTATATGTTAAAGGGGCCCTATTGTGCTTTTGGGGGTGTTCCCTTTCCTGTAGTGTTATATAGGTTCTTGTGTATGTATTGTACGTGATAGGCTAAGGGGCGGGATATCTCTAAGCAGTTGGCCAATCAAAACAGAGCCGGCCAGCTAACCAATCAGAGCAGACTGGGCTCTGGTTTCAGACAGAGGGTGAAAAGAGTAGGCAGTATGAGAAAAATAAAGAGCTTTATGAACATTAAAGCATGGAGACATGTCACAGAAGAGACAACACATCTAAAAATGAGCAGAATAGGTCCTCTTTAAAATAATCTTTAGTCAACAAGATCAGCATGAAACTGAGTCAGAGTCTTTTCCAGTCAGATGTGGTGAATCTTTCTTTGAGAAGCAACCGCAGGCATTGCTCCTTTTGCAATGTGATACTTCAATTAAAGCCACAGGATTTTCTTTTTCTCACTTGCCACCGTTCACTCAAAGGTCAAAGGTCACATTCAGTAATAACTGCAGCTCTTGAACCGACAGGACTTCAGTGTTTTGCTCAAGGACACTTCAACAGGGCGGAGGCCTACTAATGAAGAAGCTTGAACCCTCATTTGCATTTTTACTTTCTACACACACGCACACGCACACGCACACGCACACACACACACACACACACACACCAGATACTATCCATCTCCAGACCGGTTTAGGCTAGTCTCTCCACAGATGACTGATGGCATGAGATGATGGAAAGTCAGCTCGCCCAACAGGTTTCTGCTTGTTTTTAAGGCTTTCCAAAGAAAAGATAATAATATTCAAATTGAAAGTGTGGGTGTGGGCGTGGGTGTGTGTGTGTGTGTGTGTGTGTGTGTGTGTGTGTGTGTGTGTGTGTGTGTGTGTGTGTGTGTGTGTGTGTGTGTGTGTGTGTGTGTGTGTGTGTGTGTGTGTGTGTATTTTCTCTCTTGAAGTTAACCACATCAGGAGACCATATATTTTAGTGACAGAAGTTTCGTCACCAGAGGGCATGGATGATTATTTATCTGTTGTGCTGGTTAGGTGTGTGTGTGTGTGTGTGTGTGTGTGTGTGTGTGTGTGTGTGTGTGTGTGTGTGTGAGAGTGAGAGTGAGAGTGAGAGTGTGAGAGTGAGAGAGTGAGAGTGAGAGTAGATGTGTGCATGGGTGTGTGTAGGGTTATGGCTGGAGATTATCTTTATACTGTTTGGTTTGGAGTTATGTGTTTTTTGACATTCCCTCACAATGAGTCAAAGACAGGGGTAACCTCGGGGCGTCTCATTGAAATGAATGCGGGCGTCTCGCTAGCGTCTGCCTGCGCGAATACGACCAGCCAGCAGTGTGTTAGCACAGCAGTATGCAAATACACACCTATACAGCATATGGTATATCTGACATGATGACTGATTTACAGATGATGCTTAATATCTGCCTGCAAGGGAGCCAGGGAGTTATTGGTATGTTCTGTAATCTATGGGATTTTCAAACTTTCTGGCAGGGTGCGGCTCATTTCAAGGAAGGATCGAACTTGAGGCGAGGTTTTTCTCCAAATTCCTCATTTGTCCGCCTTTATTTGCATGCATCAGAAGGGAGAAACCTTCTGTGAGTCACCTTATTTTTTTACTTGCATTTCCCTGTCAGCCTGAACCTACCCAGCCTTTTGGTTTGTTCCAAAGAAACAGCCTTAACTCATTCAAAGAGTGATGTTATATCATTTCTTGTAACTCTGTGACAGCAGTAATTTATTGTGATGCTCGTTGAATAACCTTTGCGTCACGCCTCTAAAATTGGCAATTGCATCTCACCTTTCCCTTCTCAGCTCTCTTTCCCATGCACTTCTGTGTGACCTAACAAATATACCACGAAGCCCACAGATTCTGTGCCCTTTAGATGGAGGTTGAACTTTGGAAGAGTCCCACGGCTTCCTGCCCGTTATATTAACTCTAAATATTGTTGATATACCTCACATTGGCACTATATGTTGTGTGCACGTTTTATTGCAATTTCTGAGGAGCACAGGATAAATACATAAAAAATTAACCAGGTATCAAGCGCAGGAAGTTTTGCAAAGTTTGGAAAAGTATTAAAATGTGAAAGACACACTGTCATTCAATCGTTTACCCAGAAGTGCACATGAAGCAGCTGAGGAGGGCAATGCCAGTTTTGAAGGGTGTAGTCGACAGAGAAGTGCCATTAATCACTACTGACAGGAAGTAATTTACTTGGTTGAATACATGTCATTGGAAAAAGTAAAATATTACCGTGTCACTGTAAAATACTGTCTTGTACTGTAAATACAAGACAACACCCAACACTGGTGCTCACCTTTCCCAGAATTCCCGATGAGTTCCTCCTTGCGGCCTCCTTGCTGCTCCTTTTGGCTTCAGTCAGAGCTCCATGGTTCCCCCGGCCGTCCCCAAAGCTGCAGCCCACTGACGAAGCACCCCAGCTGGGCAGAGACGCTCTTTTAGTCCCCTGGTGGTCTGGATGTCCTCTTTCTGAGGAGGAGAGGCTCGGCCTTCTGGGAGCTCTCCTCTGATCTGCACTGGTGAAGCTCTCCATGCCTGAGGGTGAAGAGGACATCGTGGAAATTAGAGTTGGGAAGTAAATTACAATATATATATATATGAAATTAGATAAGATAAAGTCATAGATTATGTTAAATATGGGGAAAAGATTTTAGGTTTTCTTTGACATGGAATCGTAATCAGATTTATTGCCAAGTTCTCACAAACAAGAACTTGGTTTTGGTGTATAATAGTATATACCTAAATTCAATAAGATAAATAAAAATTTAAAATAAGAGCCACGTAATGGAGGCCACATAACACAATTTGATAAGCATATTCTATTATTCTAAATTAGTTAAATTAACAAAAGCTGTTTTAATTGCTCAGCTATGTAAATATCATTAAGATATACACTTGTATTCTTCGTTTAGATGTTAACTTAAAACTTATTCTAGATTAGGGATTGTCGGAAAACAAATGTGCACAAACCATTCATAAAACACATGCAAAACCACCACAAATGTCCAAGTATCCTTCACATTTTGAAACAAATCAAATCTAAAACAATATGGATTTCTCCAAACTCCTCAAATATTAAAGGTCCCATGTCATGCTTTTCCGGTTATTACCCGTCCCCTTGTGTGTTATGTAGCTTTTTCTGCATGTAAACGGTCTGCAAAGTCACAAACCCTCAAAGTACACCCTGTAGCGAGTAAAACTCTAACACAGAAAATACCTGTCTATGCTGCCCCAGAACGCCTCGTTGGAAATTTTTCTTTTTCCATATTTTTCTTCCGGGAACCAAGTGACGTAACGACGACCCGATGGACCAATCCGTGGAGCTCCTCACACACACACACACTCTCTCAGCGGCGAAACTGTGACGCGCTGGGGGGGGTGCTAGTGTAGCCTCGCAGCGGCGAAACTGGTGCGCTTACACTGTAGGTGCGCCGCGTTTGGGGGTGCGGGTGCTAGTGGAGCCTTGCAGATGGGGCTGCTGCAGCCCCCTCAGCACCCCTCCTTCCCGCGTCCATGGTGCTCAGGCTGAGTTCAGGCTGAGTTTCGCGATGTCTCGCTGTCTCGCAGACCCCAAGCAGCCACCAGGAAACTACACCAGTAACCCAGTTCACACTGTCCGCTCCTCACAGCAGCGAGCCGCGCAACGTCCCGCCAACACGGCACCCAGACCCCACGCAGCATTCTCATCTGTTTGTCATTACTGGTGTCATTTTCTGGTTGCTAACAAACGCCATTGTAACACATAATCACTGATGTTCCACTGTAACGGTGGTGGACTCATCAGAACAGAGTGGGCGAGCTGACCAATCAGAGCACAGTGGGCTCATAGGCAGGAGCTCCAACAAGCCGTTTAGGACAGAGAGTGAAAACACATACTATACAGAGATGCTGTATGAGAAACCAATGTGATTTTGGAACATTGAACAATGTAAATCTATTCTAGTAGACAATGGAATTATGATCAGTAGAAATGTCCATGACATGGGACCTTTAATGTTTCCCTTCACTTCAAGTATAAAGCATGTTGACAGCAGCGGATACACAGACTTAAAGTACAAAGGTCTCACCGGGGGGCCCTGGTCTCTTACTGCCGGCTCTCTGGTTTGCTTGGAGCTTGGAGGACTGCGATAAAAAAGGCAGAATCCCGGCAGGGTTTGCAGGAGCTTCTTTAGAGGATGAGCTAATCTGGATGTCACCGGCTCCGTCTTCGCTGTCGTAGCTGCCGTCCTCCTCTTCCTCCTCTGTGGAAATCACAACATCAATATGATCAGTCAGTCAGCTTCAAGTGATCTACATGTAAACACTGTTAGCTAAAGCCAGGGACTCACTTGATGAGGAGTATTGACAGCTAGCTTTCAATATTCCTCTAGCATCTACAGTTCAGTTCTCAAGCCTGTGGCTAAACACTCGTAGCCGTGAATACAAAAGTGAGCAGAGAAATGTCGCCGTTAGTTCAGAATGAAACAAACTTCTCTCTGAGGCTTTTAAAGTGCCATATTTTGTCACATATTAACTCCAAGCTGCATAATAATGAGCGGCTTGTTCCTTAAGTGCAGTGACGGGGAGCAAATGTTGACACACATGCACATATGCAGCACACACACAAATACACACGGTTTGTTATTGGCAGCTGTGTGTCGCTGACTGCAGGGGGTCGTGTCGGGTGTCGACACATCTCTGACACACTTGTCACTTCCATGGCGTTCTCGTCAACACTTTGCCTCAGTCCAACACACACACACACACACACACACACACACACACACACACACTGGGACACACACACACTGGGACACACACACATTCAACCACTGCTTCTCGAGCCATCGAGGCAACGAGGTCGTTCAGATTTGAGCGTTTTCTTTAAGTTCTGTTAGTTTTGTTTTGAGCGTCTTCTCGTCTGAGGCATTTTGTTTTAAAGTCAGGAGGATTTATTTCTCCTCATGTCAAACCTCCGTCAGTTTCCTGACGTTGGGGAGGTGAAGAAGAGGGGAAGTCCAGGGTGTGAGATTCTGAGCCGGGCCAGAGCGAGGCTCACGTTACGGCGCGGTGTTGAGGGCCGGGGTGGCTGTGTTGCATGCCTGTGGCAAGTCGTTAACGGTTTTAACGGTGTGACAGACGAGCTGGGAAGTGAGAGAAGGGCCCCCTCGATGACGGCAGACAACTCACTCTCAGATACTTCATGGGCACACACACACACACACACACACACACACACACACACACACACACACACACACACACACACACACACACACACACACACACACACCACACACACACACACACACACACACACACACACACAAGCAGACACACACAGAGGCATTCTTGAAAGCGAAATCCCACAGTGTCTGGCTGATGTTCTTTCAGCCACCAGCCACAGCTCGACTCATATTTGTAATAACCTGTGAAACTGTGGCTGGAGGACACACCGGACTACATATGAGTGTGTGACAATCAGACACACAGCTTATGTAAGCGTTCAACTGCAGGCGCTTGACATAATCGTATTCAGAAAGTCGGAAGTGAAGAAGGCAGCGGGGCTGCACAATGAATCAAAATGTTAACAAAATCGCAAAATGGACTACGATGCAATATCCAAATCACAGCAAGCACAATATTTGGATAAATATGTGTTAAAATAAATTGTTAAGTATTGTAAAGCTGCCGCGCACGCCTACAAATATACAGTATTTTTTGGTACAGATTCTCTTGAAAAATACTATATTATTTAATCACGATTACATTTAAGAAGTATATATTAATGTTTCCACCCCCTCGCCTTTTTGAGGGAGTCAAAGTGTTATCAGAGCTCCCCAGCACCCCCCCCATAATTCTCACGCTGACCTGAACTGTAACTCACCGTGCTCTGAGCTCTCGCTGTCACTCTTCTCTTCCCTGACTTCCTGTTTTTTGTCGGAGGTCCGGTCGTCCTTGTGGTGAGCTCTGTTGGTGTTGACGGCCATCATCACTTTGGGTTTTCGACCCCTCTTCCTCTTCGAAGTCTGACCAGCTGCCCAGTCGTGCTGCAGGTCTGATGGAGAAACAGGAGGAGGAGTTCAGTGTCTGGCGTATAAAGCACTGATTGTTTAGGACCAAAACGTTGAAATGTGCTATATTAATTAAAGGGGCCCTGGTTTGCTCATTTTCAGGTTCATATTATATTTGTATTTTGTGTCTCTACTGTAACTGCTTTAAAAAAAAGCTATTTATTTTTCTCCTACTGCCTGTGCTGCAGCACCTCTTTTCACCCTCTGTCTGAAACCAGAGCCCAGTCTGCTCTGATTGCTTAGCTGGCTGGCTCTGTTGTGATTGGTCAACCGCTTAGAGATGTCCCACCCCTTAGCCTATCACGTACAATGTGTTGGAGCGCTAGCCAATAGAAGCGTGAGTGTTACAAAGTCATGTCACTATGTTCAGGGGGGGGGGGGGGGGGGGGGGGGTGTGTGTGAGAGAAACTCCCTCTGGAGAGAACTCATAGCCTTTGCAGACCATTTACATGTACACAAACCTATATAACACACTACAGGAAACACCAAAAAGCATCACAGGGCCCCTTTAACTTGCCTTGTCTTGTATTCTTGTATATATATATATATATATATATATATATATATACGCTCCGTCTGTACCCACCTTTGATTCCTTGTCTGCAGTGACTCATGGAGGCGTCCTCCTCCCCGGGGGGCCCTCTGCAGTGTAGCATGCCTGAAGACGATGCACCACGCTGGGCCTTCTGCTTCAGCTGGGTCACCCGCCGGGCGAGCCTGGAGCTCAGGGCGCCGGGCCGACCTCGGTGCTTACAGCGGGCTTTCATCTGCAGACCGGGGGAGGAAAAGCTAATTATTGACAAATGTATTTCCGCTAATTGAAATATCCAGGAAAGAACAAAAACGTTAGCAGCAGGAAGTGGCTGTCACAGTGTGTGTATGGACCAGGAGAGACTGACCTGTGCAGAGCTGTGGCTGGAGAAGACGTGATTGGACATTTTCTTACTGGCTTTTTCCTCCAATAAATCCAACCTGGAAGACATGAAAACACAGCAGAGACACACTTAAATGAAACTTCATCATATACAAACCAGATCACAGAATCAATCCCATCACACATTTCTTTCCTTTCATGGATGATTTTTCTCTGCCTCTCCGCTCTCCCTAGTTTCATCTCCCCTGGGTTCATTCATTGTCTCCCTCTCTCCCCCCTCACTCTTCCGATCTGTCTCATAACTTTGATGAGGTAAGAGAGGGACAACGCTTTTTGACGGCAAACATGGAAATATTCAGTGGCCATGTGAATATATGAAACTCTGCTGAATCAACACATGAAAGGGGTAAGAATGATCTGTTGTGAGGGAGGGAGGAGAGACACAGGGAGACAGAGGGGGGAGGAGAAGAGTTGAGGGGGAAGGGAGAGAGACAGAGAGAGAGATGAAGAAGTCTCTGGGGAGTCTGTCCGTTGACCGGAGCTCCAGGGCTCGATCGATAAACACTAACCTCTATTGAACACTACTCCCCCCTTCCTCTCTCTCTCTCTCTCTCTCTCTGTCATTCCTTCATTGTATGCCTGCTCTCTCTCACACACACACACACACACACACACACACACACACACACACACACACACACACACACACACACACACACACACACACACACACACACACACACACACACACACACACACACACACACACACACACACACACACACACACACACACACACTCTGTTAGCAGCTGGTGTCTGAGGCAGGTGAATCCTATATTCCCACAGAGGGAAGGTTTGGGTCTCAGCATCTCCGCTCCCGAGAGAGGAGAGGAGTGGAGAAAGAGGAGAGGATAGGATAAAGGAAAGAAGAGAAGAGGGGAAGGTGTTAGGAGAATATGAACGTATAGGAAAGGAAAAGAAGGAAGAGTATAGCAAAGGAAAAGAAAGGACATGAGAGGAGGGGATAGGAGGACAGGAAAGGAAAATCTCCCTGCCCAAACGTTGACCTTTAACCCCTCTGAAGCCCCAGAGTTCACCTCATGTCAGATTCTCACCAACAATACGATTTGTTCGCCTGTACACGCTGTAGAGAATATGGCCAAAAAGTATGTATGGTTTTCACTGTTTAGGCTCCACACCACAGGTATATATAAAGGGATCATTTTCCAAATGCTGTTGCTGAAGAAGTTGACTGGCTGCACGGAGCCCTGACCCCGACTCCATCCGACACCTTCGGGATGAATGGGAATGCCGTCTGTCAGTCAGACGTCAATGCGTCGGAATGCTTTAAACACAGTGCTCTTCGGATCATTGAACAGTGGCTCGAAAAACCCCACACACACAAACACTCCTACAGACACACACCTTCCACATGCTGGAAAGCTAAGGGCTGCCTCTGACAATCACACACACTTTCATCAGCGCCTGGCCAGAGGAGCAGAGGTGAGAGAGTAAGCTGGGTTTAAACTTCATCTCTTTATATCTCAGGCTCTGATATTCTCTTAAAGTATTGCCATCACTTCATGTTGTCTATTAACCCCATTTCAACGATTAGTGTGTCCTACTTCTTTCCGAAATGGCACCTCTCTTCAACTTTTGCTTTCCAGAACTGTTATAAACACTTATGCTTCAGGTAAAGTTGGACGAGACATCATACAAACTGTATTTTTCCAAGAAAACCTCAGCCTTTACAGTAAATCATCTGAGGCCAATCTCACAAATGCAAACCTCTGCAGCTTGGAGACAAAGCGTCACAAAGAAATGGGCGCCTAATAAGAGGCATCTTAATGCCCGTGGTTCTGACATTTCACGTTTCACCAATCACATTTCAATGTCCACATACTTTTGTCCATGAAACACACATGTGTGTATCAAAAGGGTTCGTCTTCGGCTTTTGAAAAATGCCTCTACCTCTCACACTCTCGCCTTTTCATTTCAACCCGCATCTCTCTCTCTCTCGAAGATGAAAGCGTAAACAAACGATACATCGCTTGTTATTAACAACAGAGATCCTGCTCAGGCACGTAGCAACCAGCGCTACTAATTAAACAAGTTGTGTGTGTGTGTGTGTGTGTGTGTGTGTGTGTGTGTGTGTGTGTGTGTGTGTGTGTGTGTGTGTGTGTTGCACCAGTATGTATGACTAAAGCCTTTCATTGTCATTTTCATTAGCGCCTTCTAATCATGGTAACCGTGACAAACCCTGAGTTTCTCTAATCATTTTATCAAGGCGAGGGGTGCACATGCTAACAGAGGTGGGGCAGCATGAGAAAACACATTTATCATTATGAGTGTTGAACACAGGCTGTGTGTGTGTGTTTGCAGCAGTGTGCGGGAATGTGTGGCAGCATCCAAGTGTGTGTGTGTGTGTCGAAAGGTGTTAAATAATGTGTGGTTGTGTGTTGCGGCGGGTGGGGGTGTTGTCGAGTCGTTTATCACTGTAATAACTGTGCATCAGGACTTTGTCCGGCTGTATTAATATGCTCGAGGTTCACAGGGAATCGGGACATAATCAATGCAAGTGATAAATATGATTAAAAGTGATTAATGATGATTAATGAAGGTCTCATCTCCATTACTTTCTCTCATTTAAAATCAGCTCCCATCACATACCCCATTGTGTGTGTGTGTGTGTGTGTGTGTGTGTGTGTGCGCATGTGTGTGTGTGAGGCTCCTTCCAGTGCCCAATCAAGCAAATCATCAGCTATAGAGCATTTGAATCAATTCAGCTGAAGAAGAACTTCTTGAAAATCAGCCGCGCCTTTCAGTAAGAACAC